TTTCTGTAGAAGGGCCTTGCATTGTGGCAATGCTGGGTGCCTTCTGGTGCCTGCTTTGGATTCTGGGTTGTGCAGTACAGAATCAGTGGGGTCTTACAAACACCTTTGATGGAGGCCTTGTGCTTGTTAAAGGCCTTCTGTGTCAGGTCAGGCAGTTGTTGAATAGGCATTGTGTGGCAGGCCATAATGCCTAAATGGTGACTTAAAATAGGGTGGAGGTTTCGGAGGAAAAGGCTCTTGAAGCTGGTGTCCTCCTCCATCCCAGGGTAATTGCGAGCTCCGAAGTAAGCTCGTCGAAGTCTGTGGTAGTAAGCATGGGGAGTTTCATGCCGGCCCTGTTTGGTGTCTAGGGCAGCGATCAGTCCGTGTTCAGACTCTGGGTCTGAGAATTCCTTTATGATGGCTTGTTTAAACCGCTGGTAGTCTGATTGGATGTGTCCTGGCTGTCGAGTCAGGAAGCATCACACCTCTGGGCTAGAGGTGATCCAGAGCAGATAGAGTCTATCTTGGTGGTTCACACTGGTCCAAGACTGCAGGTAAAAGTCAATGTCTCGCAGGTAATCATGGACGTTGTGGTCTCCTGCAAGTTCTGGTGTGAATGCAGGGATGTTTCTGGCCATTCGGTTGAGGTCTTTGAGTGTCACTCCATGTGTCATTTCAGAGTTTGTCTGAATTGATCCTTTTCCTTCTGCGGCTGCAGAGGTTTCCAGGAAACTGACTTGTGAAGTGTCAAGCAGAAGGCTTTTGCTCCCCCTCCTTGTATCTGTGTACAGGGGTGAGGGGGTTTACACTGCTGGCAGTGTGATGTGCAGCAGGGTGACTTTTACTTGAGTCCATGCACAGTCTGTAGGACTGTTTCAGTTATTTCTGGGCCATGTCAAGCTCCTCTTTAATGTTGCAGAATTGCTGAGTTAGGGTTTGGACTTCAGCTCTGGCTGCATGCAGATGGCCTTCTAAGGCCTTAACTCTAGTGTCTCTCTCATTAAGTTTCACATACGCTGTTTTTAACAGTGAACTGGTGATTTCCTTCTGTTGCACCATTCTGTAAGGTTCCTTGTATCTGTTCTGTGCTTTCTCTCGTTGAGCAGGTGTCAGTTCCCTTTAGAACTCTGTGGCTTGCAGGTTCAGTTCATTTACCTCCTGTCTGAGGCCCTTGAGGGTGTGGGCCCAGAAGAAGATGATGCTGGTCAGATCCTGGTGGTTCAGGCTAGGTGTCAGGTGTCCACTTGTGTCGAAGTCTCGCTGTTCCTTTCTCTGCCGTTGCAGGTCGTTGGCTGCTTTGGGCTGAAGGATGTCCATCACAGTGCTCTGCTGGGTTTCCAGGTGGTCCTAGTGAGCTGGCAGGGCTGGATGTCTGTGGAATGTCTGCGACATACTGGCACACTTGTGGGAACACCAGAGAGAGAGAGAGGCAGAAGGCAAATGCAAGTACGTACAGAGGTGTAAAGATATCTGTATGGGGAGTGGCTGTGTAGGCCGTGTAAAGTGTGAATAGCTAGTGAGGGGCAACTAGTGAGGTAGGGTGCTATGTTTTTGTGTTCGTGAACACAAAGAGAGAGTTTGAGTAACTTTGTTGATGGGGCTGTAAGCAGGGGTCAGCTAATGACCGGGCTACACGTGTGGTCAAACTATTACTCAAAGCACGTAGAAGGTATCAAATAAACAAAACTAAAATAAAATCAGAAAGAGACAGCGGAAGAAGGAAGGGCTTTCTGTCAGGGTCCTGCCCTGACAGTCATGTCTGTTCTGTCTTTGTTTAAAGTTTCCTTGTTTGTCTTGTGTCTGAGCACATGGCTTTGTCTTTGTTTATGTTGTCCATGTGCTACTCTCGTCCTGCCCCCTTGTTTCCCTCTACCACGCCCCCTTGTTTAGTCCTAGTCTAGTCCTCGTTAACTTGATTGCGTACACCTGTTCCTCATGTGTTCTGCTCCTTTATAGTGTGCCTCTTCCCTCATGTCTTTGCTGGTTCGATGCATTAGTTCATTGTGTGTAAGACAATTCCTTGTCAGTCTACTCGTCATATTAGTAGTGTTAGATTTTACTCTCCTAGTCAGTCTAGCTTTGCATTTAGTTCTCTTGAAGTTTATTAGGGTTTCTTTGCTTTTGTTATTTTGCTCTAGTCTAGTTCCTGTCTCTGTTTGCTCTAGTTTTCTCAAGCCTCTAGTTTGGTTTCTTT